ACATTTATTAGAACTCAGTGACACACACAGCGATAATGACAATGATGACATACAACATCGATGACCATGACCAACAGTGCTGAGCAGAAGCAGGGCACAAAAGAGCATGCACGGTATGATTTCTTTCCTATAAAGTTCAGAGCAAGAGAAGAAAACAACCGTCTATGTCTTTGAGAATAATCATCAAAGCAAGGACAGACAGTTACCATGGGAGTCTAGTTCACGGTCACCTTCAAGGAGAAAAGAGGCATTTAGGGGTTTCTGGATGTTGTTCTGGGACGTGATAATTACATAAGTGTTAGCTGGGCAATGAAATATATATAGATATATAATGATCTCTCCCCATCTCTCTCTCTCTCTCTCTCTCTCTCTCTCTCTCTCTCTCTCTATATATATATATATATATATATATATATATATATATATATATATACACATATATATATGTATCATATACATGCACACATATGTGCTTTCCTTATGTGAGCTCTGTAACGTTATATCCCAATTTAAATCAAAGCCAAATGTACAACAATGTTCTCTAGAAACAGTTGAGAAATACTTAAGACTAAATGAGAATAGGAAGTGCAAGACAAAGGACTGGAATTAGATAGTCCAGAGTTCAAATTCTGATTCTGTTACTTAGTGGTATGACTTTGAACAGATTATAAAACTTCTTTGGTCTCAAGTTTTATTAGAGAAGCTAATAGAGCTATTGCTGGGATTAAAGTTATTACCCATCTTTATTTTTCCACCCCTCCCTTCCTGACTGGTCAGCTGGTGAATCTCCCTGAAATTACTAAACCCATCGCGTGCACTTAACTTTCTGTACTTTACAAATGGCCACGAGGGTTACAACATCTTGACAGGCCAGATGGCTTATTCTCTAACACTGATAAATCAGCCAAGCAGAGGATATTAACTTGTCTTTCCTAGCCAAGGGGGTTCTCTGTCTTGTTTATCACAGTCTTGGCGGCTTCATTAAAATACAGCATGCTAGGTCCCATTTTCCGAGATCTGACTCATAGGCTTGCAGTCAAGGTCTAAAAATTGCATTTCTAACAAGTGCTAACAAGTTCCCAGGTGATGTCATTGCTTCTGGTCTGAAACAAGATTTCAAGAACTACTATTTCACGACAACATTGGACAAGTTGGAAAATCAGGTCCCCCTCCTGGAGAAAAGAAGGAGCTTCTTTTTTCTCCAGCTCTCCATGCACAAGAGAGAGCGTTTTCTCAGGCCCTAGGGAGGAGGCTGCACCACCTTGTCCTTATAACAGGCTGCAGGTTCTTACACCTGCCCTCTCCTGTAGCCAACTCTCATGCTCCTCTGAAACACCGGTTATATCAAGAGTTCTCTGGTGGCTGCTTTTAGTCCTGAATTCTTGCAGTAAGGGACTGGGATGAGGGTGGGGGATCAGGAAGATGTTTTCAAGTCATTTTCTTCTCAGAAATGCCCATGAGAGTTAAAAGGGATTTTCAAAAGCACAATGCCTGAGATATTCAGAGCATTTAGTGCACATTTAGCTGTTTTTGTTATGACTTAAACCTTCTTTGGGAAGGTATTTGTGAAGATGGAATGCTACATCACAACAGAACATGAGATGTTCATGAGATTAGCATAAATATTAAATTGATTTTCATATTTATAAATTTGAAATCATGACCTAATTTAAGGTCGTTTTCTAGAACAGAACCAGCACTCCTAGAGATGAGAAGACAGCAGTTCTGGAGACCTTCTGGGAAATGGAGTGGTGACACAGTTTGAGATCTAGCTAGACGGTATTCGGAATGTCAGCAGCTGGCGGGCTTGTGGAGACGGCTTCTGGGAGCAGGCAGTCAGCACATGCTAAGCTTGTGACGTGCTTGGCAGCAGGTCGTGCAAACCTCTCTCTTTCTTTAAACACATGGTTCCAAAGTTTCTAAACAGAGTTGTCTGAACCTTGACTCTGCCTCCCTTGTGACAGGGTGGAGGGACTTATTTTGCAATGCCTCATTAAATATTGTAGGCATTTGCTTAGCACACACACACACACACACACACACACACACACATGTCCTTTCAAGCAAGGATTTTTTTTGGTATTGTTTTGTTTTGGTACAATCTTATTCTTTAATACTTACATCTCAACTATTAATTCAAATATTATTTCTATGATTTTGTTATACTTAATCCCCAGACAGTTACAGAAGTTCTACAAACTACATAGACTTAAAGTATAAACAAAAAGGAAGAAGTCTCTAGAAGCCAGGTAGGATGGTACACACTTATGAACCCCTGCCCTTTAAAGGTAGAAGCGGAGGATTGCCAAAAGCTTGAGGCCAACCTTGGCTGGTGAGTTCTTAGCCAGCCAGAGTGACACAGTGATATTATGTTTCAAACCAATTTTTAAGTAGATATGCCAGAAAAATGGCCCAGCCTGACAACTTGACTTCAGTCCCTGAACATCATAGAAAGAAAAAAGTGACTCCTGAACACAGTCCTCTGACCTCTACAAGTGTACTATGGCACACATGCTCCCAGCACACACACACACACACACACACACACACACACACACACACACACCACACACATGCACACACGCGCACGCATGCACACACACACACACACACACACACACGCACGCACACACGCATGCACACACCATAGCCCCACACAATAATAATGAATAAATAAACATTTTTAAAAGTTGAGAGCCGGGCGGTGGTGGCGCATGCCTTTAATCCCAGCACTCGGGAGGCAGAGCCAGGCAGATCTCTGTGAGTTTGAGGCCAGCCTGGACTACCAAGTGAGTTCCAGGAAAGGCGCAAAGCTACACAGAGAAACCCTGTCTCGAAAAACCAAAAAAAAAAAAAAAAAAAGTTGAGGATGTGGTTCAGCAGCAACAGTGCTTACTTGGCCTGTGTGAGGCTCAGAACAAAATTAAAACATAATTTTAGCTGTATTTATTTTAAATTACAGGATATGTATTTATTTTTATAGTTCTAAAATTATTTTAGTTCTGTGCATCTGTGCACGGGCACATACATGTGAGTGCAGGTTCTTAGAGCTGGAGTGACAGGTGGCTGTGAGCTGCCTGGTGTGGGTGCTGCGAAACAGAAGGAGGTCCTCTGCAAGAGCACCCAGTGCTCCCAACAGCTGAGTTACCCCCCCCCCGCTTCAATTACAGGATTTATATTTATTGATAAAGCTTTAGAGACTGCTTTATTTTTTTTCTTCTTTTCTTTTACAGCAGGGCTTCCTTTATTTCAAACTTACTTCATTGTAAGTAAAATTCGCTTCAATTTTTAAAAGTTTATCAAAACTCTTTCACCATACTAAAAAGCCCGAGATTCTCCAAACCCACATGAAAGTGAAAAAACTAGCAGAGCAAACCCTGCATTCGCCGTATTATAAGTACTTGCTCTCCTCTCTTTCCCAGCACACCTAAGGAAAACCCTAGGAGAGGAACAGTGTATGGGGCTCAGTTTCACAGACCTCTGCACATGGTCACTCAGCCGACTAGCTGCAGGCTTGTGCCCAGGTGAGGCAAGGCAGGAATGCATGGCAGAGTAAACTCTCACCTCTTGCAAGCCAGGAGGCAGAGAAGAAACAGGAGGCAGAGAGAAGATATTCCTTTCAAGGGTGTTTCCAGTGTCTGCCTCCTCTCCGTTTGGTCCCTCCAGTCAACTGCTAGTTCATCAATAACTGACATGTCTGTTGATGAAGCTAGAGTCTCTATGAGCTAGCAACCAAACCTTTAACATGAGAGACTCCAGGATATTTTTATATTCAAATATAACACCACATGAAATCGAGTCACAGACCTCATTGATATTAATACTTTTCCCTAAACACATTAGCAAAACCAAAATACCAAAAGTGGTATTTGGGTAAGTAATTTTTGAATTCAATTCAGTCTTTCAAAAGATATACTTATACGAAGAGACAAATAATCATAAAATATAAAATGAGTACATTGAAATAAAAACATACTTGGTCAAAAAATTAGAAAATAAACAATGGCTCAATAATAAAATGACAGGATAATTGACTAGACACATTGAGAAAAAGTCACTTAAATTGCTATCTTCTACTACATAATATCAGGTTTAAAAAAATCTAAACACATTGAGTTATGGTTTTAAAAACTTAGTATTAAAGAGAATAATAATAATTAGTTCATTTTTAATTTGCTTTTCATTTATATTCTGACTCAATTGATATGAATACTTTTTTACAATATAAAGGAAGTCAAGCATGAGAAAAAGTGTCAGGGCAAATATCAGAAGTGAATGAACAATAATCTCTGGCTGGATAAAACATTGAGGCTTAGATGCAAGGATGGACTAGGAATGGGAAAACATGTTTTATGGTATAAAAGGTTTATTTGGGCCATGGTTTCAGTTCTCATCAATGGTTGCTTAGCCCCATGGCTGTGGACCTGGGAAGGCAGAAATTCACGGTGACAGTGAGCAGGAGCAAAGCCGCTCACAGAATGGTAGTTGGGACCAAGGCCGGAAGCAAAGGGGCTGGGCTTCCAGCATCCTTTACAAAGGGCATACTCACTTTCTTCCACTGGGCCCCCCTCTTCAAGTTCCACCATTACCACCTCTCAGTGGCACTACAGACTGGCATCAGAGCCTTCACATCACCACGGCCTCTGGGGTCCAAGGCAACTGGAAATGGTAGTGCACATGTGAACCCAACTCTCGGGAGAGGAAGTGTGAAGGCAATACAGACCCTGTCTTAGGGTAGGGTCACCATCTTAGACCACCTGCTGTACTCAGTTCCAGGAAGAACCTCAGGAATGTGCCATGACAACTCGGATACAGAGCAGACATCCTGTCTGCAGTTTATGGCCCTTGAAGATATCTAGATAATCCTGCTGAGCAGCCCAGATAATCCTGTTCAGTGGGTTGTGGTTCCCCGCCCAAAGTCTAACCAATGGTTTCAAATGTGGCTTTGCGCCCAAAGTCTAGACCAATAGTTTCAAAAAAATTACCTTGCCCCATATCCCTTCTACGCAATCCCAAGCATGTAATTCCCGGCTTGTGGGTTTTTTTTTTCCTATTAAAAACTCTCTACACCTGGGCTCGTGGCCACCGCCACATTTCCTTCCATCTGCCATGCAGTGGCCCAGGTTGAACCTGATAATAAAAGGACCCTTATGTGCTTGCATCAGAAACCGGCTCCTTGGTGATCTCTGGGGGTTTTGCAAAATGGGTACAAACGGGTACAACAGAAGAAGGATCTGGAGTTCAAGGCCATCCTTCTCTGCATTATTATTTTGAAGCTGGGGAGATAACTAAGTGGGTAACAGTGCTACCTTGGTGTGATCTCCAGTGCCCATACATAAAAGGTCGGAGGTGGCTCTGTAGGTCCTGTAATCCGGAGGGTGGGGCAGCAAGACTGTTTGGACGAAATGGCTGCCATCTTCATTCCAGATTCAGCAATGTATTCTGTCTTGAGGAAATGAAGTGGAAAGTGACAGAGGTGGATACCTAACATCCTGCTCCAGCCTCTACACACACACATGCACACACACACACACACACACACACACACACACACACACACACACACTATTGTTAAACTTTTCCTTCCTGGCTATAGTTTATCATTTTCTTTCTTAAGAATATTGCCCAATATTCTCGAAAAAAAACCGAAAAAAGAAGTTTTAAACTATCATAATAAAAGTGTAGGTTTTAAAAACTCAAATTACAGAGATGAGTAGAAAAACAAAAGACACTGAGCAGCCTGCAAAATGCAGCCTAATCACTGTCTCACAACCAATTCTGCTTCCACTTACTGATCAAGATTAAATAGAACAAATTTCTACATAACAAGGTGAAAAACATTTCACAATTTTCAGTCCGATATTTCTGTTTTCTTCTTCTTTGAAAACCCACAGGTTACATCCCACAAAATCAATTTCATTCCCAGTTTGAAAATTACTTCTCTAAAAATAGATATATCAACTATTTTCTGCTCCTCTGGTCCAGTGGTTTGGAATAATTCAAACACATCACCGCTTTTGGTTCCGTTCCTCACTTAAGAAGTTTCTTCTTCTAGTCTCTTCTTTACAATGTTTATTATATTACATTAAGTTCTATTTAAAAGTTTGAAAGAATATAGTTTATCCTACACCTCTTAGTCCACTGATGTTAGAATCTCTTAACTCCCCCTTATACAAGATCAACAAATTCTCGATCTTTCACTTTCTTCCATGTTTCAACTATCATTAGCAATACCATGTTTTTATTTTACATGTTCATTACTTATCTATCTATCTATCTATCTATCTATCTATCTATCTATCTATCTATCTGGTTTTTCGAGACAGGGTTTCTCTGTGTAGCTTTGTGCCTTTCCTGGAACTCACTCTGTAGCCCAGGCTGGCCTCGATCTCACAGAGATCCGCCTGCCTCTGCCTCCCGAGTGCTGGGATTAAAGGCGTGCGCCGCCACCGCCCGGCTGTTATTTATTTATTTTTGAGACAGGGTTTTACTGTGCAACCCTCACTGGCTTCACACTCACCATTAGGCCAGGCTGGACTCAAACTCACAGAGATCCCCTGTCACTGCCTCTCAAGTGATCTCATTATGTTAAATATTTGTATTTGCTATTAGAATAATTATATCTCCATTTTGTCTTTAAGTTTGTTTTAAAAATTGAAGATCTTTTTCAATATCAAAATTTTGTTAATCTTAATGGCTATAGGATCAAATGGCATGCAACAATTTGTGGAAAGGGAATTGTAAATCATTTTAGTAAAACTTACTGAAAGAGAATTTCCCAGATGCAGTGTCAAATGGATCCCCACATGTTCATTGCTTACTCTTAATTACGTGTATTATCATCTTTGGACCAGGGCTTATCAACTTTTGCCTTTATAAAGATTTCAATTGCCTATGGCCTCGATGACAGGAAAACACTTGCCACTCTATAGTAAGTAAGCATCAAAGGTTTGTTTTTAATGGAGCTGGGGATTGATCCAAGGATTTACTTGCTAAGACAAATATCACTATCTGCATCCCTCCAGTCTTTTATTTCTAACCAAGACTTTGGTAAAGTAAAACTGTTTCCAAAGGCAGTTTTTGAAATGCTGTAACTTCCTGTTTGTTGCTATTGATAACTTTGAAGCCCTCACTATTACCCCTGAAATACCTTTCGTCTCATTCTTAGGGTAGATCCTTAGGAGGTCTCACTACTGAGAGTTCATTGCTGGGTCTCACATTTCTTTGAGTTCTCTTTTACTTACATGAGCAAGTCATTTCTTCCTGAAAAGGTGCATGAGGGTAGCGTGGAGTCAAAGACAAGTGAAAACAATCCCGAATTTGTCCTCATTCTGAGAATTTTATCTACAGAATGCTAGGTTCCAAGCAGTTTTCCCTCAGAAACAACTTTGGAAACACTACCCTAATAACAATCTAATGAGTCACCTGCGAGTCGGCCTGGCAGGTAGGTAGTTAACACTAGGGTCTATCTCAGTCTCCATGCCATCTGCTGCTCTTGAAATCTGAATGGCCAGTTTCCACTTGTCTGGCTCTTCTGTTCTCAGCAGAACTGAGCTCTCAGAACTGCCCATTCCAGAAACCCTTTTTCTGTGCTCTGTATCACACACCACCATCCTGGACTGAAATTGAAATATAATTACATCATTTCCCCCTCCCTTCGTTCCCACCAACCCCTCCCCCAAAACCACCTAGCCTCCACCTCCACTGCTCTTTCTCTCAAAGTCATGGCTTCTGGCCTCTTCTTCCATTTTTGTTAACCCTGAATCACCTGTATAAAGTTACTTGCATGCACACGATTTCAGGGCCGAGCACTGGTACTGAATAACCAATAGGGAGACTCCTCCTTAGGGAAGACTGTTTCTCCCCCTCTCAGAACTCATGCCTGCAGTTCTTTGTCTTGGGTTAGTGCCCCAGGAGATTGCTGCCTTTCACATTAGCATATCTGTAGGGATCATCCTAGCTCAGGTCTTGTTCAGGCAGCCATGTTGTTTAGACTCCATATGGCGGCTTCCCTGGAGTTCCACAAGGTGCAATTTCACAGCAGATGCCCTGTTCCTCTGGCTCTTAACCCTTCCTCTTTCTCCTTGTGACATCTACGCAGAGTTTCTGTACTCTTTTCTCCTCTCTCTGTCTTCTCTCTCTGTGATCTTACTCGTTCTCACACTTTCAAACCATCTGTTGGCAATTCCCAAATTGTATCAATAAGCTAGATTCTCTTTCTGAGTTCCAAACTCACATCTTTAAATATCTCCTGACATCCCTTTGAATGTCTCCCAGGCACTTCAAACTCAAACTAACCAAAATAGAAGTCTTTCTGAATCTGGATCTCCCCCAGCCTTTACCATTTCGACACAAGGCTCCCTAACAGTCCTTCCCCCCTCCTGCGTATCTCGTTGCTCTTCTCATCCAGTGCATCCATCCCTGTTATTTCCACCTTCAAAACCTCCAGTCTCTTGTGTAAGTGATGATTTGCTTCCCACTGCATTTAGAATAAAATCCCCAACAACCAGCCCTGTTGCTGGTGTTTGCCTACGTTTCCAAGTTCATCACTTACCTTTTGCTATTCTCCACTTACACCTTCCTTAGTTCACCTCTACCATCTCTCATACACCGTGCTCTTTCTATCCCAAAGCCTCTATGTTTACTACTCTGTCTGGTGTACTGTTGCTAGAGTTTTCCTGCCTGGCCCACAGTCAGGACAAATCTCTCTCACCCACCAGTCCCAAGCCGCTCAAACCCGATCAAGTAAACACAGAGACTTATATTGGTTACAAACTGTATGGCCGTGGCAGGCTTCTTGCTAACTGTTCTTACAGCTTAAATTAATCCATTTCCATTAATCTATACCTTGCCACGTGGCTTGTGGCTTACCGGTACTTTACATCTTCCTTATCCTGATGGCGGCTGGCAGTGTCTCTCCCACCCAGCTTCCTGTTCTCTCAATTCTTCACTCTGTTAGTCCTGCCTATACTTCCTGCCTGGCCACTGCCAATCAGTGATTTATTCATTGACCAATCAGCAACACATTTGACATACAGACCATCCCACAACACTGTACTTTCTCCTCAGGTCTTTATGATACATGGATACATAGCTTTCTTCCTCTAGGTTATATTGGAAATATTCAGGATGTTCACGTTAACTCTCACAGCAGTTCTATGTGAATCAGGAAAAGTTATCATTCTGAGACCACACACAGGCTGGATTTCAGCCCCAAGCAAGTAGTGATGTAAATACCACCTCTAGACAGACCACCTCTGGTGCTGGGATTGAACTCTGAACTCTGCCACTAAGCTGTATTTTCATTCTTTGAAGAAGCATTCATTTATTTATTTATTTATTTATATTTATTTAGATGGGGTCTCATGAAGCCAAGGATGGCCTTGAACTTACTTCTGGCTTTATAAGGAGCTGGGTGCTGCAAGCTATAGGAAAATGTAATGGAATTCAGCTACTATCACAAAAACTACTACTTTTCTGAAGGTCAAGCCATAGCTTAAGAAGTCTTGATGATATTTTAGCTTTTGTATATATGTTAGCTGATTCCTGCAATGATTTTTTTATGCTATGTATGCTTCCAAAAACTCATAACAGTGTATTTGATCTGAAATACCTATCAAGCATCCAAGGCCAAACAATCTCCTGAATTACGGCAAATTAAGCTCAGACCCTCCTTTCTTATACAGCCTTACTGGTGTTTATACTAATATTATAGACTCCTAACATTTACCTAATCACCTCTGTAGTTTGAGCACATAAATTAATTCCCTTTTTCTGATACATTAACCAATTTTAGCTCTTTAGTTGACCTCCTCCTTACCACTCCACTTTTGGGTTGTAAAAGAAAGCCTGATGGTCACTGCCTGAGGAAAACTCTTGTCTGCATTTATGACCCTGTAAGAATTCAAGCAGCAGATAAAGGTAGAGAGAAACCAGGCAAGAAAGGAGCTAGGCATGAGAGCAGAATAGAAGCTGTGTAGACAGGATTTTATCCCAGAGGAATAAAGTAGACAGACAAAGAGCTCGGTGTACTTCGATTCATTTCCTGAAAATAATTCTCGCCATTTGTAGCTTCTCTTCTGGGCCCTGGGAAGAAGATTATTAAGGCTGGTCCTTAATAATATTCGAGAACTGGGGATCAAACCTAGGACTCCCTGCATACTAGTCCAGCATTCTGCCAACTTACCAACTCAGCTTCATCCCAGCCCCCAAGTGGCTATTTTAGTATTCTTTTATTCTAAACCAAGGCACTCTCTCTTTCCTTTACAGAGTTTCATCTAGTCTTTAACTACTTAGCTAACTCTTACTTTATTCATTCATTCATTCATTCATTCATTCATTCATTTATAGTCTGTCACTCTCACTCGGGTAAATGACTTCTGTGTCAGTTTCACTAAAATCAATCACTGTTACAGGTCTACTAGGGGCTTGGTATGGTGCAGATCATAGTGGGTCTCAACAATTTTTTTTCAGTGAGTGCGTAAAATTGTACTCTGAAATTTTATAGGAATATGAAAGGAAAATAGTTTTATTTTTCCAGTTTAGATTTTCACAAGACATTTTATCTGAAAACATATTTTCGTGTACCATTAATTTCTACTTCTTGAAATTTTCTGTTCTCTACTTTTTGGACATCTATCTAACAGATCAGATTTAACTCTTATCCCACTACTCCAGAATTGGTGGTAAGACAAACTGAGTACAAAAAGGACTAAGAATTTCTAGTCCACGGAGGTCGAACAATTGGAACCAGTACTCCAGTCTCCATCATTAGAACACCAAGGAAAGGGAGTGAGAAAACAAACTGTTAGAACTGTTAAAGCCCCAGTCAGCATCCTGTGCTCCTGCTCTCCAATCCAGGAGAGATGTGATCACTGAGCATTTCCCTTACAAGAAGGGAAAACCAATGCCAGCCTTGTCTGCCCACTGCTGCTCTACCCGCTGCTATTTAAATACAGAAAGAGCTGGCAGGATAGAGAATTGGAAGATCAAGACGATTTGGTATAGTAAGGAAGTAGGAATTTTTAATAAATCAAATTCCTTGAAAAATAGCGGGGCCTACACCACTTTGCTAATGTTCTACCTAAGAGAACATTGCCTAAATCAAAGGACTTTTTGTCTCTTTTAGCTTTTTAAAAGCAACATATTTTAAATTATGTGTAAAACCACACTTTTAAATCAAAAACTACCTTATTCCATTTAGGAATCTCAAAAGCTATTCCCCTGAAAAGCAGATCTTGAAGTAAAGGGTACCAATTTGACAGGAAAAATGATAAAAGGCAATCTCTTCCTCAGAAGGGTTTAAAGAATAGAATTTAGAGGAGATAAATTGTAGATGTAACCAACGGTCTTATAAAATAAGAAACACAGAGCCAATTCAGAGAAGAAAGCCAAGAGGTCAGAGCTAAGAGCCTCACCCTTCCTGATTCAGGGATCCTCTCCAGCCAAGAGAGCTCTCCGAAAAGGACCTACTTCCTGTGTGTCTGTCTTTAAAGTCTTCCTGTCCTGCCTTCTCATTGGTTGTAAACCCAGACATGTGACTGCCTCGTCACTGCCTGAATGTACCGCCCTCCAGGTCCTTAAAGGCGTGCGCCACCGCCGCCACGCACTTGCTATGACTCTAATAGCTCTGACCCCCAGACAACTTTATTTATTAACATACAATTAAAATCACATTTCAGTATAAGTAAAATACCACCACAATAAATATGTGCACTGAAAAATACAGTTGTTGTGTGGAAAGATTTGGGGAGTTCTCGGGCTCAGCAAAAAGTAAATGATTATGATTTGCTTTCTTCTTTGATGCCACAATTATAGTATATTAGCTGTACTCTACAAGGTAACAATGCACCGCAATAAATGTAGCTTAGCTGTGTAATTTTTCTGTTGGACTTACCTGGATCACTCATGACTTATAAGGCAGTTTGACTAAAATTGTGATATATGTTCAGAAATTTATACTGTTTGGTTTAAGGCAGCAGTTCTCAACCTGTGGGTTGTGACCCTTGGGGTCACATATCAGATATTTACATTACGATACATAACAGTAGCAAAAATTACAGTTATGAAATAACAACAAAATAATTTTATGGTTGGGGGTCACCACACCATGAGGAACTGTTGTATTAAAGGGTCACAGCCTTAGAAAGGTTGAGAACCACTGGTCTAAGGAATAGCAGCTGGGCAAACCATCTTTCTTCATAAGGCCTGTTATTTCCCACAAGTCAGAATGTCGTTCTTTGAGTAGTAAAGCAGCAAGCAGTCAATGCTGAAAGCTGAAAGGCTGCTGCTTTTTATTATTATTATTATTTCTTAAAAGCTTCTTAAGGCCAATGCTTAGGATTCATTAAACATCATTTCTGCTGCATATAATTAGTCAAATAAAAAAAGGCCACCCCTGTGATTTTCACATCCCAAAGTCATACTGCTCAGAAGTAGAGAGCGTGCCACCAACCAGCTGTCCGAGGGTTCTTTTGCTCTACCTGGATAGAAATCATAAGCAGGCAAGGAGTTGCCCTTTAAGTGCTGGTTTCTAGTGTTTCATTTCCCACAGTGTGCAGCAGCAGCAAGAGGCAGCCGCAGGCAGGGAAGCAGCGGCAAGTAGTCCCCTTAGGTTACAGTCTTTGAGCACACACACACACAATCTCTCTCTATAACTCACTGAGCAATTTTTGTGTGTGTGTGTGTATGTGCCTCTTGCATGCCAGGCATTATCATTTACTTCGGGAATATAAAGACAGATATGGTCTACCAACTATAGCATGAAGTTTTGTTTACTTCCTACATTTCTGAAACCAGAAACTAGAGTATCACCTGGGTTCACTACACTAACGAAAAGGCCATTTAAAGAATAACAGGGATCATTAACATGATTGCCTAAAGACAACAAAAAGTTTAGTTGACAATGCCTAAACAGAATTTCTACTACAGAAAAAACTACACTATACCTTTATTAAGCAATGAATTTAGCAAGGGCTATACCCACCTTGGCCTCACATTCTTTTTAGAGTAAGGAAGAATAGATTGTAATTTTACACACATATGCAAATGTAAGGTTTTGTCTCGATTCTCTTTTCTTCCATTATCCTATCACTGCATTTACGGCTTTGTCTGATCACCCATGCTGCTCTGTGTTAAAAAGGTTTATGAATCAAACAGCTGAAAGACTGACTCTTTGGTGTTCTTTGTTTGAATGGCCTCAGTTTGAAGTGTGTTACTGTACAAATCTGTGCAAAGTTAGAGCTTCAGCAGCGTGCTGACATCTGCTGTTTTTTCTGTAAGTCTCTGGCTACGTGTAAGTAACTGAGGATGGCCTGACCTCAGCACTGCTTCTCCAGCGGTGGGAAGGGTAAGACTAGAATCTTCTCATTGTCTTTTGAAATGGCTTAGAGCTATGAAGCACAGGAATAAATTTTTTTAGACTCTTGGGCAGACAAGTTAGGAACACCTGAACTAGTTGCTGTCAACGGCTAGCAACCTTTACCAGAGGTTTCTGGATGGCTGAAGAGAGGTCTGCACAAGTGGAGTGGATAATGAAAATATCCGGTAGTTCCTCAGGCCTTGTCCTCAAAGTGAACAGCAATGTACTCAGGAGCTGGTTTCTGATCAGATGTCCAGACACAGAACAGCTCTTAGGCTGTGCTCTGCACACCAGTGCCAGCTTGGTACAGTCCGCATGGCTCAGAACTTCTAACTTGACAAACAGCAGATACTTACGAGTATTTGCAGCTGATATGCCCTTTCAATACTATCCAACATAGATTTGGTCTGATTGAGACATGCACATTTTACAAATTAAAAATAGCTTTCTATAAAACAGCCCAATTAGATTAAAAACCAACTTGTCTTATCACACTCAATTCCACTGTTGCGTTTATATTTATTTTTTGAGGTGGTGGAAATTGAATCCAGGGCTTCATGCATGTAAGAGAAGCAACTGTTCACTAAACTACAGCCACATCCCTCAATAATACATTTGTCAGCAACTGCAACAAAAGCTGTCAGACTGAATGTCTTTTCTTTTCTTTTCGTTTAGATTTTCCGAGACAGGGTTTCTTTGTGTAACAGTCCTGGCTGTCCTAAAACTCACTCTGTAGACCAGGATGGTCTTGAACTCACTGAGATCTGCCTGCCTCTGTCTCCCAAGTACTGGGATTAAAGGCGTACACCACTACCCCCAGTTCTGAATGTATTTTCAATCTTTATATATATTTAAATGACTTCAAAAGAAACTACTTTTACAAACTTTTTTCCTATTTTCTAAAATTTCTCATGAATGTGTGTAAGACCCGCTCCCACTTTTTCCCCAAGGTACTCTTGTGGAGAGAGGGATGAGAAATATTTAGATAGAAAGATAGAGGGGAGAGAAGACAGACAGAAACACAGGACAGCTTCAGGA